CACACACACACACACACACACACACACCCCACACACACACACACCACACACGTTTCACTGAAATCAGTTCCATTCACTTCAGAGCATGAATTCTTGCCTAAATTCAACTTCGTATCAAACTGTACTGCTAAACTAAACCAAAGCCCACAGAGAAGACATCGTCTCATGAAGACATTCAGACATGGGTTGTGTCTCTGTTAGTGAAGGCGTGTTGTGTCTCTCAGCAAAAACGTGGTGTCCCTCTGTAAAGACATGTTTTGTCTCTGTGTGAAGACGTGTGTCTTATCTGTGAACACGCGTAGTGTCTTTCACTGAAGACGTGCCTCTCAGAGAAGACGTGTGTCTCAGCGATTGTTGGACATGTCTGCAGGTTTAACTGTTCTTCTAATCAGATTAAATTAGAAACGCTGATGTTTTTTCACATCTACACACCTGCATGTTTCAGTTAAATCTGTTTTGAAGCATCCTAAACTTAAAACTGACTGTGCAAATTATAAAAACAGGAATTATATTTATATTTAAGGGAAGAGGTGAAGAATATATATATTATATATATTTAAATATATTTAAATCTCTGTTTGATATTTTAATGTTTCTATGGAGAAAAAAAAACTGGGCCAACCATCTTTGAAAAATAGTCAGCATTGTTAGTCATTCTTAGAAGTTCGTCCACAACATCCTCCTCTCTATCTCAGCTTTCCTGTCATTCTTTCCGCCTTTTTCACAGTCAAACTCTCTTTGGTCAGCAGAAAGGTTTTGTTTTTAATAAGGAGGTTGGGCCATGCAGTTTTAACTCCTCCCCCTTCTTAGGATGAACGTTAGAGGTGAGGAGAGACAATAGAGTGATTAAAGTCTGTGGAAGAGAGCTGCTGGGAAGCTGCAAGTGCTGAAAGAGAGGAAAAAAAACAAGACAAGAAGAAGTCAAACTAGAAACTGAAGTGAGAAGAAGAAGACACAAAGAGGACACTTTTCATTCAACAAGACTGAATAAAATATTTAAGAAGTCTGTTCTCAAGAAAAAAACCTGCACTTTTCTTCCTTTTTTTTCCCACCTTCATCACCAAGAAGACCAAAGAAAACAATCAAGCTGCTGAAGACGTCTTTGTTCCACTCTGCCATCCAGACTGGAGCATGTCCTGCCKTCCCTGTCATCCCTGCCGCTGATGCAGGTGGTCAGCATATCTCTGTACCCCCTGACCAACTTCCTGTCTTCACCTGCCAGCGCCCACTGCCCCGATCTGGACTTCACCTTGCTGCTGGAGGGGGAGGGAGGCGTCACCTTGCAGAGGTACCAGCCTCGCTCCCCAGAGAGCAGCACACACCACTGGGTCAGTACAAGTGTCGAGTTGTTGTGTCTGTTCAAATCTGTTTTCATTCTTCAGGGAGTCACGGGTACTTCCAGCTTCCCTAAACAGTCTGGCAGATGGTGGCCCCAGCAGGGCCTTTTCTCTGTGGTGCCTKGGGATGTATGAGGTGTTGTCAGGAATCCCCTGTTCCGGCTGAAACTTCTGRGAAACAAATTTAATGGGAAACTCACAGGGTTGGAATTGTAAGCAATGATATGCAGCGGAGACCAGAGATAGGAGCTGTGTTTGTGGCTCTCCAAGGTCAGTTTGGTAGATGGGATTCAGGAGAGGGATGGGAAAGGAGAAATAGATTTGCTAATGTGTGAACCTGACAAAAAAAATAGATCGTAGGAAGTTGAGGCCTGGCTGCTTGATCAAAGCTCCAATATATAAACATGAAACACAAATCATTGACAAAACGGCAAATACTCAATCTGTCATTTATCTAAAAATTTGCTGAGTTTTCATTTTCTCATTTAAACTTTAAGCAAAAAGTCTGGAAAGTCACTTGGAGATAATAAACTGGACAGAGGCCGAAAAACAGCTGGACTCTTATAAAAATCGATTAAACTCATGAAAAATACTGCTTATTGGTTATTAGGTGTGTGTGTGTGTGTGTGTGTGTGTGGATGGGTATTTCGTGACATATGAGGATTATTTTAAGACAAAACACCTACATATGGGGACCTAAGTGGAGTCGCCAAAAAGTCATTGGTGGGTTGGGTTTAGGACCAAGGTATGAATTGAGTTTAGGTTAGTTTATAGTCAGGTAGGTACCTGTGAGGTTAGTTTTAGGGTTGAGGGGCAGGGTTAGGCTGTAGAAATTTAACGGAAGTCAATGTAATGTCCCCATATGTATAGGTGGACATGCTTGTGTAGTTGTGTCTTGCTGACTTTTCACAGTAATGTCTTTACTCTATTTCACACCTCTTATATTACATCAATAAAAATCAGCCAAATTAAGAAAATAATAAAATGCTGCTTATTTAATGTTACAACAAATTTAGTGTAGTAGTGTAGTGTTGCTTCTCATTTTGTAATTAAGAAATACATTTTCTCAGCATACTTGTTGGTAATTGTTTTCATGTACCCACATATGACACTGAGGTTAGTTATTATCTTTTTGTATGATTTAATATTTTTTTGAATGAATGAATGAATTTATTTATGAGGACAGTGTGCAATTAAAACATGAACATAAAAACATTTGATGCATTGCACCAGATTTAGCCTAAGGCTAATTTACATCACATTTTGGTGTTATAACTAAAGTTTGATTGAGGAATGTTTCTGCTGAAGTGTCCTTGAACATTACCCTACAAGCTTCAGAGCTGATAAACCACAGCAAAAACACACAGGAGACATTTACTAAAAACCATCATATTGTCACAACATCAAAAAATCACTCAGGATTTCTGCTAATTTATGAATCAAGGATTGTTCCACAGCTCTACATGTTGCGTAAAACTGTTTCCGAATGCTATTTGAGGCTTCAGTGGTTTGTTGCACAAAGTCGAGGACGGGAGATGAATGACTCGTTTAAAATATGTGGGAGTGTGGATTTTTGCAGAAATGATGTCGGCAGGCTTGTGGATCAAGTCCTGAGAGGTCAGCTGTGTTTGGATGTTCAATAAACCATTTCATAGTTACAAAAGTACAAAGCTGGACATTGGAATTGTAAAAATTCAATCAGTAAATTTATGTTGTTATTATTGCTCTAAACTGTTTCATGTTAAACCTTCCTTTAGGATTATAGATGAGATTTTTTTATAAATATCTACACTATAAATCTGCTTTTTCAGGTTGTTGAATTTGCACAATTTTCAGTTTTTTTGTTTAACCTGTGACCTGAAAGAGTTAGGCTCTGCTAGGCTGTATTAAAAGGTCTATTTTATTGTTCCTATAATCATTTTATACACAATGGTCCATCCATCCATCCATCCATCCATCCATCCATCCATCCATCCATCCATCCATCCATCC